CTTCTAGTAACAAGTGCCTTAGTAGTAGTAACAAGAAGCTACTAGTAACAAGTGCATCGCTTCTAGTAACAAGTGCCTTACTAGTAGTAACAAGAAGCTACTAGAAACAAGTGCATCGCTTCTCTGCACCTCGCCCTTTCGTTCTGCTTTCGCAGCCGTCGGTGCAGGACGGCAGCGTGAAGAAGGTGGTGATCGACAAGGACGAGGGTCCACGTGGTGGAACCACCAAGGAGAGTTTGGGCAAGCTGAAACCAGTGTCTTGGTGGAAAAAATGGGACGAAACACAGAAGGCTCACGCGAGAACGATGCTGGGATTGAGCCACACTTACCAGTGTTTCGTCGATTTGAACCGATCTAATTGAAGGGTCAAGCTAGTTTGTTGGTTGGGAACCCTTTTGAGCGGCAAACAGCGATGCAGATCACCAGAACCCACTCAGATCGAACAAACAGGTTGCACATTCACTCGGAACACTCCACTGGAGCCACATGTTTTCTTGCAGTTTTTCACGAACGCTAATTGTTCAAGGTGCTCGGCATGACTGCAATTCAACAGTCACGGGACCCGTGGCAGTCTCCGCTGATGGCCCCACTAAGGCCTTCAAGGCGGGCGGCAGCACCACCGCAGGCAATAGCAGCCAGGTGACTGATGGCGCTGCCATGGTGCTCTTGGCCAGGTACGCAAGCCGAATGTTACTAGTACTGGTAGTAATATTAGAAATGCCCTTTGCTACTTGGAGAGAGGAGCTACTACCAGTAATGCCCTTTGCTACTAGTAGCGATGCCCCTGTTCCTAGTAGCTTGGGTTTCAGACATCGGCGGTAAAACCTCCCAAACCTGAACATCATGACCGAAAACCTGAGAATCCGCCAAGAATTCACCAATTCTCGGAGAACTTCCATGATTTTGGGCTTTTGCGGCATGGCGCCATCCATCTCCCTCTTGGCGCCGAACGAAGCGCCCGCCCCTGGCCAGGCGCTCGGTTGCGAAGAAGCTGGGTTTGCCCATCGTGGCGCGCTTCCGCTCCTTCGCCTGCGCCGGGGAACCCGTTTGAGGACCGAGGACCGGACGGCGATCTCTGGCGAGTCGGCGAGGACTCGCGGATCGATTGGGTCAGACACGGTGCCAACCCCCGGTGCCCAGCGTGCCCCCACGCCTGGATGCCCCCCACACGTGTTCGACCGGCCTAGGTGGGGACCCCAAGCTGCAAACTATACTACACTGTAGTACACCTTGCTTCCTTTTCTTTTCCTTTGTTTCTAGTAGCATTTCGCAGTTGACTGATCTGACGACATATCGGTCATTTGTTGCTCTTGATCTTCTGAGGTGGGCGTGGATCCCAAGCTCATGGGCATTGGCCCTGCCTTCGCGATCCCTCCCGCACTCGAGAAGGCACCGTCTTTTTAGTGTGCCGGTGCCCACCCAGGTGCTGAAGGGCCATACGACACAAATAGACAAAGCTGAATAGCTAGGGATGAAGTACTTTTTGTTCTTTCGTTGACTTTTTCCGTTTTTGAGTAGGAAGGCATCCACACGATGTTCTAGCTTTGACTTCAACGTGGACTTGAGACATTCGGCTTCCACCGCACTCCCCCTGGCCTCATTGGTGCCAAGGGATTTCAGCCCGAGCCAATTCATTCGTCCCGAGCGGCCAATTCATTCGCTTCAGCTGTCCGCCATCAGGCTGGTTTGAAGGTCGAGGACATCGACATCTACGAGATCAACGAGGCCTTCGCCTCCCAGGCGACCATGTGTCTTGGCGGATGGGGAACCGGGCGAGCGGGCATGGAGAAGGGATGTGGCGATGCCAGTGGGGGGGGGTAAGTGGGGGCGGATTGGATAGGTTGGATAGCATTTGCTCATTCAGTCTTTTGCGCAATTTTGTTCCTGTGCATTGTATGTTCGCCACCTTGGACACATGTTCAGTCGACATGCTTACACACGGAGGTTTGTTGCGGGGAAGTCTTTCTCTACTAGGATTGCCAAAAGCTTCTAAGGCCTTTGCACTTATAGTGGAGTGTCGCAGATCACGGGAGAAGCATCCTGTTTTTTCAGGTCGACCGGGTCTTTTTTCCGGTTGACCGGCTTCCTCGTCCACATCGTGCCGAGGTCCATCGATCATCTTAAGATTCCCATGGAGAAGGCACAGCTACGAAGTTCGCGAGAAGGATGGAAAGAAAACAGCTGCGTTTGGGGCGTGTCTCTCATGGCTTGGTCCGAACAGTGCGGGAGGTTGTGGTCCAAATCTCACCTCCTTAGTTTTCGGTCGTTTCGCAGGATGACAGTCTTTTCACTTCGTTGGATGGGGTGAAGCTGGGTGTCAGCCAGCTCTGTGGGTTTTCTGAAATTCTCGTTCAAAGGCTCAGACCCAAAACACTAGGAGCGATCGGACGCTACTAGGAACAAGTGCATCGCTTTTAGTAACAAGATGTAACAAGTGCCTTACTAGTAGTAACAAGAAACTACTAGGGGCTCCTGGCCTTACTACTAGGAGCAAGGACGCTACTAGGGGCAACAATTCGACCAAGCCACCTCCCACTGTGTGGCGCCAGGTGAATCCTAAGGGCGGCGCCATCGCTCTGGGCCATCCGCTGGGCGCCACCGGTGCCCGGCAGATCGCCACGCTGCTGCCGGAGCTGAAGCGACAGAACAAGAAGCCGCTCGGTGTGGGCAGACGTGGTGCCCGGTGTTGGCCAAGAGAGGTTAGATGTGGCTGAGAACATACAGGCACTCAGGCATCACCGATCCGAGCGATCAGAGTTTGACCCAGTGTTCCCAAGTTCCTGCATAAATCTTCCTAGATGCCGTCAATGGAGACATTGGAGACACTACAAAAGTCTCAGGAAAGGTGCCGAAGACTGTTCTCTTCTGGGATTCATTGCGCTTCATTGCGCTTCATCGCGCTTCCGGTGACGATTTTTCGCCCAAAAGACCTCGGTTGCTCGGCCCGTCGCGGCCCTTCCGTCGCGCGTGACGCCTCAGGCTGGGCGTCACGTCGATGTGCCTCGGCAGCGGCATGGGCGCCGCCTCCGTCATCGAGCTCGAGTGAGGGACGCGGACGAGACGCGACGGGCGACCTGCTTCCCAGCCTCGTTCCATCTTCCTTTTTTGGTGCCAGGCATGCCCAATGGCAGGTATTGTGATGTGTTTGGGGAGAGGCTCACCAATAACAACTTGAGATAAAGAGCATCCACTCCTGAGACCACCGGCAGAGGCGGTCGCTCGCCGTCCGTCCGGCCGTTGCCCGGAAGGGGAGGAACCCCCGTGTGCCGGGCGGAGGCTCCCCGTCTCCGGTGGCGGTCGATGTTTCGATATCCTTTCGGATCGGACGATCCATGGCGACGGATGAGGCGGAAGGGAGGCGGAAGGAGGCAGCTAAGGACTTTGAAATGAAAGGAGCAGACTGGAGGTGTCAAAGAATGAGGAGACACGCATATGCATGGTTTCATATGCAATTTGTTTTTGCTTAGTTCATGAGATGGAAGAATCCTGGGCACATTGGATCAGATTTGGAAGGATACCTGGCCATACAGGATCCCCACGGCACGGTGGATCGTGAACAAACCGTGCGGCGTTTCGAAGAAAGGCCGCTGCGTCGTTTTCTTTTTCTGCGTGGTGAGTGGTCGCAGTTCGGTGGGGAATGAAGAACTTTCCACCTTTACTTTGGCTTTTGAATAGAACCTGGAAGTCAGCAATGAGTGAATGATAGTGAATTCCTGGATCCATCCCTTGAATGTCGACATGCAAACACTGCTTCTATTTGGGAGCCCACAAAAAGAACCATGTGGGTTCAGAATTATAGAATTGTTGAAATCCATGAGCAGAAGTGTTTTTTGGGGAAGGACGGATGGTGGGGAAGGACATAGGAGTTGTCCTGCTTGAGATGTTCTTCAAGCTTTAGGTGACCTTGTCACCACACTTGCAAGAACTTGGGAGAGGACAACTTGTCTACGGCTGCTTCCTGCTCAAGGTGCTGCCATGTCCTTTTGCAAGGAGAAACACCTGAACATCAAGCAGGCCTTCAGGAAGAAGAGCATGGTGCATTTCGAGACCAACCTCACCGCATGGAAAAGTCAGAAGTCAGAACGCGGGTTCCAACGAGAAGGTGAACTCATCGTAGGACCTTCATTCACGCACGCACGCCATGGGTCCCGTGAACAGCGTGCCTTGGAAAGAGCGAAAAGCGCGTGTGGTGCGGTTGCCGCCAAGAGATTCAAAGGACAGACAGACATCTTTGATAACTTTTTGGAGGTCGGAGAAGGTGGAATGATAGGGAGTGACTGCTCGAAGTCAGTTGACATGGCTGGATTGTTGCATGACTGCCGCAAAGAATCTTAAGTGAACAAAAACAGCGCTGTTGTTAGTACTCCGAGGACCTGCTAGTAGCCTCCTTGTTCCTACCCAAATCACCGTTGGCCCACCAGCACCGCTCAGGTTTGTTGCTGTCATGCGGATCCCACCAGTGTGGTGGAGCAGTGGAGAGCCCAGAATGGGTCCGAAGGTCAGAGATCGCAATCGGTAACATGAAGCGAAGGTCCGGCGTTTGAGATGGGACATCACTTCTACTTGTAAAACATGTGATGTTCTATGATGTTCTTTGCCTTCTCTTTAAATGTCTGTTGCCCAACACGAAACCAACTCCGCCTTTTCGTTGCTCCGATCACGTCGGGTCAGCGGTGCTCGGACCTGATCGCCGAGGCTCCGGAGTGGCCGGGTCTTGGAGCAACAGTCGGCGGCGGCCTGCTTAGCCAGCATGGCCAGGACCAAGGCCAGGACGAGCCAGGACGAGCCAGGACGATGGTTTTTGGATGGTCCGCAAATCACTTGGGATAGAAATTGGGTGGTTGGGGAGTACTCTGGGGTGGCAGCGATGGGGCAGGTGCTTCGTGATTGGTTAGGGCCTGGGGTTAGTGGCTGTAAGATTTGTCATTTCACCTTGTGCTTGGACTTTGAACTCTAGACAGGCTTCACCCGGAGTGTTGGCATCCGTTCTTGAACCCCCGGAGCAATAGAGCAACCCTGTCCTCGTCTTCCTTGTGCGAAAGCCCCCAAGCTCATGCGTCAAGCTCGCCAGACGCAAAAGCAAGCCGGCTGGATGCCCAGTGCAGTGCCGTTGCTGGTACAGGCGCGGCATGGTGTGGAGTGCGGAGGGCCAGCACACAGGGCACCCATGCGACGTCGCATGTTTGCGGCTACTCGAGTTTTTTCGGGGACAGCAAACAGTTTCAGGAACCAAACTGAGTTGAAGAAAGAACTGAACCAAACTCAGGATCGCCAAAGAGCAGCCAAAACAGATGAAGCTAAAACATCTCTCTTTTTCAACCTCCTCTTCCACTGCAAGGCCGTCACAGTGGGTCAAACCGCTGAGCTCCGAGAGATCCGCGGCCCAATCATCGGACGAAACGACCTGTCGGGTGGGTTGGGAGAATTGTGTATGGTTTAAACATCATGTGCGTATTGTTTTTCATGGGGTTTTATTGAACCAAGATGTTCTTTCAAACACTTGTTTGTTTGAACACCTGTTCTTCTTTGTGTTGTTTTCGACGCGTGTCACCCAGTTCCGTGGAACTGATTCTGTTCATCGACCTGTTGGTGGAAGGAGCGCTGCGACACGAACGGATTGAGAACGAAAAAGATTTGGTGGATCCGTTGGTTGAGAGAAGCTACTAGTAGCGATGCCCTTGTTACCACGAGCTTCTAGTTACTAGTAAGACATGCAAGCGTGTTCGGATCAAAGCCGTTGAGTATCGGAATGTTTGGAGCCACCCTTTCATGGCTCGGTGAAACACCCAGCCAAGGAATGCAGCGCGGGCTTTGGCCAACCTGCCGATGTGCTGCTTGGCTGGCACGAGTGGTGATTCTGCAGTAAGTAAACGTAAAGGTGTATGAGAGAGGGATGTGTTTGGTAGGTGGTTGCTTGACAATCAACTCACGACTCAGCTGTCTCCACTTCGGAAGGGATCACTTGTGTTTTTTTTTGGCTAAAGCAATCACTTGGTGCTTTTTCCCTATGGATCAGAGGTTCTCCAACCCACATGAACACAAACACACGTGTTCTCAGTACGACCTCCCCGGCGTCGCCCTTTGCTCGTTGCTTCGCCGCTGAGGCGATGCCGCGAACACGGCGCACATCATCAACGCGGGCGGCGCCGGGGAGACCCGGTGAGGGCGCCGGTGCCGAAGAACCGTTTTCACCGAACGGTGAGTTTCGGGTGGAACGGTGTTCGGTCGAAAGAACCGGAAAAACGACATCAACCGTTGGATCAAACGTTGTTTTTGATTCGCCCCAACAAATGGAGGTACAACATGGTCGTTTCCGATGGTCAACCGATCATATCTTCAATTTCCACCCTCAGATTCGTTGCTCGTTGCTCAGATCCAAAGCACCAAGAGTGGACCACAGGGATGTGCGGCGTTCGAAGTTTTGGAGTAGAAAGAGATTGAACTCAACAGAGTTCGACTCAAAGCCTCAAAGCCACCAGTACGTGTCACTCTGTGATCCTCCTTCGCCGGGTGATCCTCCTTTGCGTTGGAAGTTGATTTGCTTCGCCTTTCGACATGGCCCGGTTTGTTCTGGACTGATGTTTGAGCTCCGCCGATGGCCCCGGCTCCCCCTCAGGTTGCTTCTCTGGTGAAGCTCTTGGGGAATGACTATCCCTATGGCTGTCGGGCGCAGGTGCGGCTGCGTCGAAGAACGCGCGACAGCTCTTGTCTCTTTCTCTCCAAAAAAATCCAGCCTCCGAAGTGGTTTTCGACTGGCAGTTCAAACGGAAAGGTGAAACGATGCGATGCGGCATCGATGCATTTGTTCAAAAGAAGAAAGGTCAACGAAAAGGGCGCAGAGGCGCGTCTCCACAACAAAACCATCCGCCACGTTGAAACCAGACGTTTCTCCACCTGAAACAACGTCGCTGTCAACTCTCGCTCGCGCTGCACGCTGCACGGCGAGGCCTGCCGAGCTCTGGGGAACATGTGCGTCTCGAGCCAGGCGTCTTTTTGGCGCCTTGCCGGTGCGAGTCCGTCCAACTTCGGAAGCCGACTTGGACACTCTCCAATCGTCCCCAGCTGTGAAAGAGCAGCCTAAAATCGCACAAATATCACTCACACTTGACTGCCACTCAGGAGGCCCCAAAATTCGTTGATGTCATGTTTTGACGCGTTTTCTTGTGCGTGCAAAACATCAACAGACATGATAAAAACATGTTAAGCATGTAAAACGCACAAGCTAAAACAAGGTCACATCTCCTTCGTCTCACTCCGTTTGAGACACTCACTCCCACGCCTCCGGTCAGGCGGCGGCCAAGGAGGTGCGCCAGGCCGGTGCGGTGCAGCCGCTCTTGGCGGCGCTCTTCACCGAGGAGTTCGGGGCCCTCGGTGCGCAGCGCCATTGGGGTCGTGCTGCGGCACTCGTCGACCGAGGCAGCCGGCCTCGGGAGGGCCGAACCTGCAGGCGGAGGCTCGCACCGGATGGCGCCGGTCGGCTTTGTAGACAGCACGTGATGACCATCAATCCCAGGAAATTCCACACCCTTTGGTGGGTGATGTATGTCAAAGTCAAGAGCAGCAGTAAGAATACCCTAATATACAGCTTCGGGTAATCTTGTAGCCCACAACAGGCCCTCCTTGTGCGGAGGGCACTTGCGGTAACTGATGTATAAATGCATAAATTGGCAGTACTCGAGTACATAATTATATTTATATCTTCAACTTCCATCTCCTGCAAAAAGTACGGACATGTGCTGATAACCTGGCTTTCATTGCCAAAAGAATTGAAAACCTGGTTTTCTCTACTCACGAAAGCTAGCATCAGCTAGCTGGAGTTGCTCTTGCTTTAGCAAGTCAAGGGCTCGCAGCCTCGAGAATCATGAATCACGTGAAACTTCACGTGTAGGGCCCCCCCCCCCCCCCCCCCGG